ACCTTAGCTCTGACTCTCCTTACTCACCACCCAGAATGTCTGGCCAGGCAGACAGCGAGAGAATAAAATGTTTCATGAAAAGAAGAGGTAAAGTAATTTATGGCTATGCTCTTCCCCTTCCTCCGGACATCTCATGATATCTGCAATTATTGTGGGCTTTTATTAAGTGTCATTATTTGTGATCTTTCATCATTCTGTCACTTTTAACTAGTTTTATATGAATTTTAGGTGTTTTTCATTTTTCCTGCTTAAATGTAAGTCTTTTGAATGTTCTAAACAATTTACTTTGCTCTTTGTCGCATATTATTGTGGGTTATTATTTATTAGTTTTTTCCCCGAGGAGAATTGCGTATTTTTTTTTTGGTCTTCTCTGATCAAACATCTTTCTTTCTGTAGCAACATTCACTCTTAATCACCACATGCAGGAGGCATTTGATGATGTATTCTGGGCAAGGATCCAGGAATCAAGAAAATAATAGAATACTTCAGTTAGCTCAACTAGTGCTAGAGAGCACTTTTATGATGTATAAGCAATGGTCAGCATATTAAAAGAAGTGTTTTATTTTGTGTCCATCTTAAAACTTTTTATAACCTTGGGAGAGATTTCTTTTTTATTATCCTGCTAAAATTAATGCGTCATCCATTTATTCAATGTAATGAGCAATAAATTTTAATAGGGCTAAGATGAAAACCCTTTCTTTTTGACCCAGTGTCATGATGCCTAACCACAGAGAAGCCCCTGGATTCAAGTTTCAAAGATGTGTCCGAAAGGGCTTAGTGTCCAATAAACTGTGTAATACAGTGTGTGTTTCCAGTTTCTTGCTGCAGCAGCTCTTTTCAACACTAATGGGGGGCTTATCAAAGTCTGTGATTAACAAGGGCTGGGACTTGGGGGCTACATGCTTACACAAGGTAGCGTCTGAGGCCCCAAGCAGCTGGAGTCTCAACTGTACTGTAGCATCTTCATTACAAGGGTGGATTGAACCAAGGAACTCCACGCTTTAAAGCATGAACCTTTCTAGTTTAAGCTAAAACCCTCAGTGCTAAAGCTGGGAACTGAAAAACAGGCTCACAAATTCTGTGGATCAAGCACAGTAGGAGGACACTAGTAGCCAGGTGAACAGCAGGTTACATAAGGCCCTTGCCACAGGGTGACTAGCCCATTTAAATAAAGCAGGTCCAGCCCCACTGTACTAGAACAGGTGCACCCAATTTGGCCAACAAAGAGGGCGAAGCATCACCTACGGCTATAAAGAGCCAATCTGACACAAGGGAAAAGCAAGTTGAAGTCCCTGCCCTGTATGAAGTTACCAGAGTCCTTGGCGAGGTGAGGCAAGTCAGTGGGACCCTGCTGGAGGAAAAGGGTCTCCAGAGAGAAAGCCCTGAGAGGTTGATGTGCTCTGCTAAAAGAACAAGGTAGCATTCTGCAGTAGTCCCTGAAGCAGGAGGGAAGGAGAGGTAAAGGGGGAAATCCCCTGGGAGCTGTGGCTCAGGGCGGGATTAGGAAATGTTCTTGTGCCTCAAAAGAGACTCAAGGTGTGGCAGTAGGCCCATCTTGTGCTGGAGACAAGCACCCCACAATGCCCCTCTGTAGGCTACCCAGAACTTGGGTCCAAAAACACAGGGCTAAGCTCTGCCTTTGGGCAGGTGATGAGATTTTCATCCATAGCATTTAAATCTGCCCTTTGACACAGTAAATAGAGAATATGAGCCTGTAATGAGGGAAGGTTGTCTTGTGACTGAACACTAGACTAGGACTCAGGTGAGCTGGGCAATACCTTAGGTAAGTCACTGAGATCCACAGATCCACAAAGAGGCATCATTACAATCCCCACAACTGCTCAGCTGCTACCTAATCCTGTGGCACCTAAATTCACTCAGTGCCTATGTTTTCAGGGTAAACGTTCACTCAGTACCTAATTTTCTGCATCTGAGCCTGTACATTGCTGCCTCACTCTAGGCATCCAGATTCCTGTCTCATGCCTAAGCCCCAGAATGAGCCACAAACCGGGGGAAGAAAGGCATCAGAGTGTCTGTCTCTCCCACAGGGCCTGATCTAGTAGGCATGTTCAGAGGCCACCCTACCAGATTGGGTCCCATTCAAAATCTATCTAGAGAAGGTGGTTTTATAACTTAGATTCCATTGGTTAGAGCACTCACCTGGGAGGTGGGAGACTGAGGTTCAGTACCCCCACCCCGCCTGAGGAGGAGTAACAATTTGAAGAGGGGGCTCCCACCTCTCAGGAGAGTATTCTAACTGCTGGGCTAGTCTCTCCTATGTCCTATCTTCACACAATGCACAGTCAGCCTGTGGAACTCCTTGCCAGAGAATGTTGTGAAGGCCAAGAGTATAACTGGATTAAAAAAAGAACTAGATAAATTCATGCAGGATAGGCCCATCGGTGGCAATTAGCCAGGATGGGCAGGCATGGTGTCTCTAGCCTCTGTTTGCCAGAAACTGGGAATGAGCGACGGGATGGATCACTTGATGATTACCTGTTCATTCCCTCTGGGGCACCTGGCATTGGCCACTGTCGGAAGACAGGATACTGGGCTAGATGGACCACTGGTCTGACAGAGTATGGCTGTTCTTATGTTCCTGTGAAAGCTGTTACACTGTGGATAAATAATTGGTCACTAGAGCTGGGGGATTGGACCCAGCTGTGTGCCCTACCCCAGGACTATAGTCATTCTCTCTCTCTGGCCCACTCCCTCTTTATTTATCTACTGTGGAACAGCTCCAACAGGAGAGAGTTAGGGAACCCCCTATTAGCATATTCCATAGCTCAGTGAATAGTACATGCACTTGAGAGGTTGGAGACCCCCTATTCAAACCTTTTCTCTTTCTTCAGCAGAGGCAGGAATTGAACCTGGTCGCCCACATCCCAGGTAAGATGTCTAACCACTGGGATGAAAGTTATAATGTGGCCATTGACACCACCTCCCCCTCTGCTGGGGGCAGTTTTGTGTGGAGTTAGATAGTTGCCTAAGCCATCTGTAGCTCCCGGCCTAGTGTGATGGCTTTTATGGACCCCAGTCTAAGGTGTCTCTCTCTCCCCATGCATTATATAGGGATCCTCTAAGCTATGTGGATAGCAGTTTTGTTCCCATTATTTTCTAGCTGCCTAAATGTGAATCATTGCAATGCTGAGCTAAGTCCCTTTGTGGTTCTAGGACTGATTATCTCTGTGCTTTGGCTCCCCATCTTTAAAATCAGACTTAAAGGCTTCCCTACCTCACAGGGGTGTTGTAATGATACAGTCAGATGTGTGTGAGGTGCCCCCTATAGGATGGGGGTCATGTTAGTACCTAGAGAGAGAGATGATTAAGGCTTGATTCCCTAATAGAGCCATTCTCGTTAAAGTGGGAGTGCACTAGTTAAGTACACATAATGTAGTACAACAAAGAGAAAAGCAACTTCTCTGATGAGTCACTGTAACTAAGCAGCAAGCTAATCACTTCTGCACCGTTAAAACCGTGCATTTTATGATGGGAGAAGAAGGTGGTTAGGTATATTCAGCCCAAAGCCTTCAGATGCCCCAAAAGATATAAGCATACTACTCTAGAATTGCAAAGCTGCTTGGAAGATAATATAACTCTGCATTTCCTCAAGGAACAGTGCAAAAAGTTATGGCTTCATTAGGAGGCCATCAGAAATTAAGCTCCATTGCATTCAGTGTTCTAAAGCCATTTCACAATGAAGCTATAAACATGGCAGGAAATGTATTCCAGGGTGATCAGTGCAAGCCACTGTGTTATGTTTGTAGATTTGCAAACCCACAGTATCATAATCTATAACTGCACAGATATCTACACACAAATTATTGTGGCCTATTGCTTAATTTAATTATCCAAAAATTGGGTCACTCAAGTGAGTGAACATCCCTAACTTTTAGAATAACTAAATGTGTGTGTTGGAGGTGTGGGATTGTCAGTATTGATGACACAATTAATTAACTTGATTGCAAAATTAGTCCTTCAAGAGTCAGGAAATTCAGAGTGGGTGAAGAGAGCAGTATGGCATGATAGGAATAATTTATCCATATCCAGTCTAGCCCCACACTCTTCGACTAAGGGTGTTCTGATATTATAGCATTTAGATCCATTTGTGTTTTTCAAACCTGTTCAAAGTGGTTTTGCAAAGCCAAATTCTCCATTGGGTTCTCCTGATCTAGTCAGAACATCACTGAATAGAATTTTTTGACCATGTTGAAGCAACATTCCAATTCAGCAAGTTGGGTTACCACCTCTCTAACTAATACAATCTCTAAATGTACTACTGGTGCTTTAATATAAAAAATTCACTAGGGGCCTTATCCAGAAGCCATTGATGGAAAGAGTCTCACTGACCTCAGGTTTCAGAGTGGTAGCCGTGTTAGTCTGTATCAGCGAAAAGAACAAGGAGTTCAAATTTGTTAGCCTCAAAGGTGCCACAAGTACTCCTCATTCTTTTCACTGACCTCAATAAACTTTGGATTAGGCCCTGAATGTTCAAATTGTCTTTAGATAAATAATGGGTGTATTGGATGCTAGTTAGGGGGTGCTCACCTCAAAAGAACTCAGTGGAACCCAGCATGATTGCATTTTGAACAGCTTGCGCAATCTATTGAGAGGATGATCTCATATTGGGGTCCGAAGTGGGCAGAGTATAGAAAAGTATCCCCACCATTTCTTTTTCTAGTACAACCTATATCATATCTCCTAGAACTGGAAGGGACCTTGAAAAGACATTGAGTCCAGCCCACTGCCTTCACTAGCAGGACCAAGTACTGATTTTGCCCCAGATCCCTAAGTGGCCCCCTCAAGGAGTGAACTCACAACCCTGGGTTTAGCAGGCCAATGCTCAAACCACTGAGCTATCCCTCCCCCCAAACCTATCCCCCCCATTTATTTTTCTAGTACACCTGACAGCTCTACCCTATCACGCCTGGAAGGGTTTGTACTTCTACTAAGTTAGAACTTTGACACATATTAAATAAGCTTTTGAATTTCTTGTTCTTTTAATCCATTACCTTCTCATTCAAGTTCTGATCTAACAGGTGTTCTTCATAACTCTCCTCATGTACCAAACAACTAATGATTTCCCTGTTCTTACTCAACTTAAGATGCTCTTCATCTGCAAACATTTCTAAGTTGATACTCCAAAGGTGCCCCTTTAAGATGAAGGGGGGAATTTTCAAAGGCACTTAAGCATCTAATTCCCATTAGCTCCCTTTGAAAGTAAATGTTATTTGTGCCTTTGAAAACCTCCCTCTCGATCTTCATTTGGTCTATAATATGTTTCTGAACTGCAATATCTAGATCTGACTTTGAATCTCTCCCTCTGTCTATCTAAGAATTTTCTACTGCCACTATTACCAGTATATGACTATCTTTCATTTAAAAAAGACTGGCAATAGCAAAGTTCCTTGTGGAGTTCTTTGTGTCTCTGGCTTTTCTCCAATTTGGGGTTATAGAAAACTCTCTTCAGGATACATTTTTAAAAATATTAAAGGGAGAGTATACAGGTTTCACAGTGTTCCTTAGAGGTGACCAGAACCTGAATTCATCTGACTGCCTCTGGGATACTCTCAACTGTGAATGCTTTGTCCATAGCTCTCACATGCTTCCTTCTAGGTTTTGCAATCTCCTTTGTCACTGAGGAGTTTTTCAGTTAAAAGTAGGGTTGCCACCTTTCTAATTGCAGAAAACCAAACACCCTTGCCCTGCCCCCTGTCTTGCCCCTTTCCCAAAGCCCCGCTCCTGCCCCTTCTCTGAGGCCCCGCCCCCGCTCACTCCATCCCCCCTCCATTTGTCGCTCGCTCTCCCGCACCCTCGCTCACTCACTCATTTTCACTGCAAGGCCCAAGCAGGCACCAGAGAGCCAGGAGCTGCAACAGTTTGAAACTGGGAGATGGAATGTGTGATTCAAATACCCTTCACCTCACCTCCCCAAAAAAGAGTCCCACTCACTCGCAATGCAGGAGCTTGATTTTTCTTGCCTTCACTCAACTGCCCTGGTAGGGGATCCAGTAGTGCTGCAGCCACTGATTGCAGAAATTGACCCCTCCCTATTTTATCATTCTGTGGGGTTCATGGTGCATGAGGGGGCTCTGGGCTGGGGCTGAGGGGTTTGGGGTGCAGGAGAGTGTGCGGTGTGGGCTCTGGGAGGGGTTTTGGATACGGGAAGGGGTTCTGAGCTGGGGCAGGGGGTTGGGGAGTGAGAGGGGTTTCGGGGTGCAGAGTCTGTGGGGCTCTGGCTGGTGCAGTTTGCGGGGGCTCTGGGAGGAGCTGACCTCAGGCAGCCCCTTAAATAGCAACCGCAACAGTGCTGCCCCGGCATTTCCTGGGAACGGAGGAAGTCCACGCTAATCCTGGGACGCAGCCGGCATGTCCAGCTCCTAGGCAGAGGGGCGCCCATGGGGGCTCCACCCACTGCCCCCACCCGCAGGCACTGCCCCGAGCGCCAGCTCTGCAGTTCCAATTGGCTGTGGCACCCTGAAATCATGCCAACCCCGGATTCACGGCCAATGGGAGCTGCGGAGCCAGCACTGAGGGCAGTGACTGTAGGTGGGGGCAGCGCACGGCGCCCCATTGGCCACCCCTCTACCTAGGATCCACTTCTCGGGAGCCACACAGAGCTGGGCACAAAGCCTGCCTTAGCCCTGCTGTGGCCAACTGGACTTTTAGCAGCTCTATCAGCTGTGCTGACCGGAGCTGGCAGAGTCCCTTTTCGACTGCGTGTTCCAGCTGAAAACTGGACACCTGGCAACCCTAGGCAGATATCACCTGTGGTCTCAAATGTAGCTGGAACCTGATCCATTTATGGTTTTTGCAGATGAGGAGCAAAGCCATAAACATCAGTAGAAGGACCAGAGCACAGGCAACTTCTATATGGTTACAACTTCTTGTCTCAGTTAAGAAGTTGATTTTAGACTTAACGTAGCGGGCTTTTCTATAAAGTAATTAAAAGCCAGATGATTGTTGTCAGTTATTTAAAATATTGTGCTATGAACAAACTTAGTTGCAATGTCATTAATTCAAAAGGAAACATAAGCAAAACAATATGTTAATATCTTATTAACCTATCAGACTTCTAATAACATTCAAGCCTTTTACTGGCATTTCAGAACCCATTTGAATATCAATAAAATGCGAGCTAATCTGTGCTAATTGACATTTTATAAGTGGGTTGATCAGTAACTTGTAGTTACTTTGAAATATCTCAATTAAAGTCTAACCATCTCTTTCAAGTAGACTCTGTTTAAGATAGTACAAAGAACATAATTAAAATTTAATTGCTTATTTTTTTGTAATTAGAGCAAGCAGATACAGATCTTGTAACTCTCTTATAATTCAATAGGTGTTCTTCTAGCAACCAGTTTGTGTTAAGTAATGTTGCAATCACTATCCTTTCGTGTTTTGACATTCTATGGGTGGATTTACTGTTCTTGAAATTAAGGGCCTAATAGAATTGTCTAAAGCCATTCATAGTGAATGTGGGCAAAATCACAGCATCTGGATCATTCGTAGTTCTGCCAATACACCTCTAATCTTACTAGTAGTACCCTTGTGCTCTAATCTGTGGTGGTGATGACGCAGGAAACAGAACGCCAGGTTTGTTGGTAGTTAGAGAGCTTTACAAGCTTTTTGCAAAAAGCTTTCCAGGAAAACTTTTTTGGGGGTTTTTATTTTTTTTTTTACTTTGTTTACAACACTTTTTAGTGATTACATTTTTTGCGCATGAAGAAGCTAGGCAGTATACATGAGCATGAGATTATAAACCCATCTTTTGAGCGCGTGGACACCAGCTGCAAAGATGATGTCATTGTTGCCAATAAGTTTTCCAAACATATACGCTAGGACAAGGTTATTCCTGCCTCGTTGCCAAGGGAACAGTTTGCCGTTCTCGTGGGCATACGATTCGGGAACAACACATTCCTACACTAATCCCATGCAGGAATTGCTGACCTGGATCAGGTCTATAGCCCATCTTCTTCAGTATCCTGTCTCCAGCAACAGCCAGTGCCAGATGCTTCAGAGGAAGGTACAAGAACGGCTGCAGTAGGCAGACATAGGAAAATCTGTCCCCCCATAAAGTCTCATTGTAATCCCTAGACACTGGTTTAAACCCTGATGCATGAGTTTTCTATCCCTTCCAAAACTGTGATAGCATAAACCAGGGATTGGCAACCTTTGGCACGCGGCCCATCAGGGAAATCCTCTGGCGAGCCGGGATGGTTTGTTTACCTGCAGCGTCCACAGGTTCAGCCGATTGCAGCTCCCACTGGTCGCGGTTCACTGTTCCAGGCCAATGGGGGCTGTGGGAAGCAGTAGCCAGCACATCCCTCGGCCCACGCCACTTCCTGCAGCTCCCATTGGCCTGGAACGGTGAACCGCGGCCAGTGGGAGCTGCAATCGGCCGAACCTGCGGACGCTGCAGGTAAACAAACTGTCCCAGCTTGCCAGCGGATTTCCCTGATGGGCCGCGTGCCAAAGGTTGCTGATCCCTGGCATAAACTGTTATAAATCCAAATATTCTTTTTCTCCATATAAATGTTCAATCTTTCTTTGAATGTTACTGATCCTGGTAATTTCTTGATTGGAGATTGCTAGTTGTTGCAAATTTATACTGTGAACAATTTGGTGGCAAACAAGGGTTTACGAAATATCGGAGGAAAATAATCTTTGAAAATACAAAATAAGGGCTTGATTGTGGCTTTGCCATGCCCCTGTGTTATAGGCAGCCTGAGAAGCACACTGTGACTTAATTCCCTGGCTGCACCAGGGAAGGAATATGCTGTGTCGGTACCACACCCTATGCAGCATATGATCCCCAAGACAGGAGGAAGAGTTACCCCTCTGCATGTTTCCCACCTACACTCTGCCCCCTTCCTAGCCACCTTCACGGGGTACAGATGCAGTGGCTTTGTGCAATCTGCATCATCGCCTGTGATGCTATTGTAATGTAAGTAGCTGTCACAGCAGCATAAGGATATGCATAATCTCATGTACAGGAGGTGTCGGTGAACAAAAAGGTGCCTCTTGCAAGTTATGTTCCCAGTTCTGTGGCTTGAAAACTCCATTCCTACCCCCTCCCACTGCAAATCCCAACTCTGTTACAAGTTTATTCATAATCCACTAGCTCTTGCTTTTGACTAGCTGTAATGTTCCGAGTTAGATTCTTTCTTCTGCCAGTGTGGAGAGGAGCATCGGGGAGCCACTTACAGCTCCCTGATCTTCTAGGCAGCTCCAGTCCCAACTCCCTTTAGAACAGAGGTTCTCAAAGTGGAGGGTGCCCCCCAGGGGGCTGCGGAGGAATATTTTGGGGGGGGGGACGGGGGGGGGGGGGGGGCCGCGCCCGGGGGGGGGGGGGGGGGGGGCAGGGAGGGAGCGCCACACTTCCAGCCCCACTCCGCACCTGGACCAGCTCCACCACCAACCATTCAGCCCCCAGTCCTGCTCCACCACCAGGCCCAGCTCCGCCCTCATTCCCTCTCCACCTCCAGACCAGTTCCACCCCCAGACGCAGCTTTACTCTACCCCCTGCTCCACCCCCATCCAAGCTCTGCCCTTATTCCCTATCCATCCCCAGACCAGCTCCACCTCTAGCCCCAGCTCCTCCCCTATCCCCAGTTCCACCCCCACCCCCACCGTCAGCCCATGCTCCGCTGTTGAAGAAGCCTTGGCTGTGCAGTAATAGAGGGGTTGCACAGAGAGATTCCGTTACTGGAAAGTGATATGTGTGACTGGAAACGTTTGAGAACCACTGCTTTACAGCTGGTGTCAGCCAAGTGCTTCATCATTGATGCAGGTCCTTAATAGACCTTTTGCCATTGAAGAACTGAGGGAGAGGTGCTCTTCCCTGTTATATCCCCACCCTGAGATACTCCCCACATCAGAAAAGGAAGCTGGGCAGAGGCACAGAGCTGTGTCACAGGGGATCAGAAAAGCTAGTGGATTATGAATAAACCAACAGTGTTGTGATTTGTGGTAGGGAGGGGACAGAAAGGAGTCTCATTTCCAAGCCACTGGGCTGGAAGCATAACATGGAAGTTTTGACATTTTGTTCAGCACAGCGCCCTTGGGAATAGCCTAGTCCCATGCGGCCAAAATTTTCACACCTGGTGCCTAAGTTTAGGCACCTAAATACATCTTTAGGCACCTGGGTTTT